AACAAATATTTCCAATTGTGGAATTGTACCCATGAAGTTGGTCAGACTCAGATTATAAGATCACCATTATGGAAGCTGTGTGTAGTTTGAAGCCCAATGTCATTGTTTTGTAGTAAGAGAAGAGGAAATGATATCATGCGTTCCAGAGAGCCTTTTCATGTTCCTTCGCTTATTGTTTGGTGGACAGGGTCTCTTAGAAGTGGATCATGATGATGATGATGCTCAAAATAAAAAAAGATGACACTCAAAGTAAGGTTCTTAGTGTTGCTCAAGACCTAGTGTACAACTTCAGTTGTGGTAAACACTGGACTCCCAAGCATATTGGTCTAGCAAACACATTGCACCAAGCTACCAGATCAAAATAACTGGTTGAGCTGTTTCACATGGCTGCCTGGTCACTTCATAAGCTACAACAACTTAAAACAGGTTAATACAGCTTTGGCAGAGAGCACATTTCGTACAATGGACGTGGATACAGGAGCAGTGGTTCCACCAAATTTTGTATCCAACAGATTTGGGCACTTCACATGTGACAATATTGACATCAATGATAGCAGTTTTCATGGTAAAAACAGCTTTCAATGTAACTCAAGTCGCTGGATGGCAGAGGTCCAGAAGCAGACATGGGGCTGAATGATCTCCATCCATCTACAAACGTTCTCCAGCTGCAGTTGTGTCAGGAAAAACAGAACCAGGATCAATTATACAAACCAACTAGGAATGGTACAATGAGGAACTCCTTGATAATCTATCAGCATGTGTAGCACTTTCCAAGACAATGCCGTTTTTCATCAAACGGCAAGATGCAGATATTAAGACAGGTTAGACCAATTTCAATCAGACAATCTGCCCGACCAACTCAGAGGTCACAAGAATTGGCTATATGCCAATTGTACAAGCTCCCGCCCATGAACTCGACACACTCAACACAGTAATACAGAGATGCAGGCACATTGCAACAGCACTTGGTCAACAACACGTGGTCCTTACAGTTGACGAAGCTCTTTACTGTAAGCTTATGGAACTCAAATGGGCAAAAGATGAATATCAGGATTTTCTGATCATCGGAATGGGTGGCCTGCACACATCTCTAACCTTCCTGAAGGTGATCGGAAAACACATGCAATCATCTGGTTTGATGCAAGCATGGATTGAAAGTGGACTTTTTGGTCCAGGTACAGCAGAACAAGTCATCCTCGGCAAAGGGAAGTCTTACTCCAAACTGCTTTGTGGCGTCAAGTCAAGTCATCCTCATTTATATAGCGCTTTTAACAATGTAGATTGTTTCAAAGCAGCTTTACAGAGATAAACATATAATTTAAGGTAACAGAGATTGGTTTGGTTTTATAGCGGTTCTTGAATAATGTTATTTCCAGCTAAAGTTAGTTTTGATTGATTCACTTCCGTCGAAATGATCATTTGTTATTAAATTAGGGGCCGCTAAGACGACGGCGTTCTCTCTAAAGACTGTAAACTGAACCTGTGATAAACGCTGATGGCGTTCACATGCGCATTAAGAATTGATTCTATAGTTATGTGCGTTTGAATATATGTGCGCAAGTTTGTAATTCCCTACAAACCCTGCCTAAACAAACTCTTTGTCTTGCCTATAAATTTGATACAGAATTTTTTTGTTTTTTTATCACTTCGGGTAGGTACGCGAACCGAATTTTCCACAACGCTTTATCTGTAGAGTGGGAAAGGGATCCTCCATAGGGTGAGGCTAGTTGGCACTTCAGCACTGCGTTGTCATCGGGTCCAGGCGAAGGTCCTTCAAGCAAACAAGCGGTATGTCCCTTCCTCCGCCAGTGGGGTGAAGACTGGAAGATTCTACACTGCTGCCCATCTTGATGTCACTTCCTCCAGTCCCAGACCATTGTTTGAAACTGATCAGCTGCAGCTGCTCCTCAAGATGTATGAGTGCACGATGTAAATGTAAAAAGTTTAGTCTGCGTTGCTCTGCTGCATGCAAGTGCAAGACAAGTGATGCAGAATGTAGCAATTACTGAACTGAATAAGAGCACTGCTCTATGTTGTTGTGATCATATTTGAGAATCTTGTCGTACCATTGTTTAAATAACATTCACTTTTATATGCCATGCAGTTCATGTTTTAGTTAGTATTCAGCTAATGTTATGTCCAACTTCATAAGGTAATTTTAAGCCAAGTTTACTGTATTTCCTTTATCTGTTCAAAGCTAATGTTAGTGGTGTGACACATTACCGTGATATGTGTTGGTAATTTGGTAATTTGTCTCAATTCGTAATATTTACAACCAATCTTTCTGGGAATATCTTTTGCATAAATAACCCAAAAGAAAATTTAGTTTGGTGAAATCTCAGTCCTTAAACTTGTTTAAGTAATAAACACTCATAATGTAATAGGATGAGAGTTTAAGATATAGGCCTTTTGCTGTCACCAGCATGATGTTGATCTTCTTACATGGACATACTCAAATACACAAAATAACAGGTCAGTGTTTACCAGAAATATTGTAAGACAGAATATCTCAATTGTTCTGACTATTCAGTTTGTTTCCTTTACTCAATAAATGCTATATCACAATAAAACAGTTTATCTTTGAGCCAGTGTTGATAAATTTGCTCATTTTGGTGTATGAGGCGGTCATCTTGGATTTTACACTCCAATGAGTTCCACGTAAGAGATACAGCTTGGCAAACAGCAAAAATGGATTCAGCATAAAAAATACCCCTAGAATAGTCTATTTGCCAACTTTTACTCAAAAATGCCTGAAGATTTTTATTTAGGCACATTTTTATGATTTCAACCTGGTCTATTTACTGTGGCGAGCAGGATGAGGCCGAGGGCGTGATTACTGATGAGAGACACCTGTGAGACGCACCGGTCTCGTATCTCTCACGGAGGAGCGGGAATTTTCTTAGCAATGTTAAAACGCACATCAACCGATCACTTGTTTAGCGTTCATGTAAACACTACATTCAGATACACCAATCGGAATGAATTCAGTTAGATTGAAACAAAAGGTGTGCATGTAAACAATGAATGGCGACTGCAGAAAGCAAAATCTAAATCCCGGACATTTTGTACGATCTCGACGGCCGGACATGTCCAGGAAAAAGAGGATAAATGGTAACCCCTACTACTCAGCGTTCTCCTACTAAGTTACTCAGCTTTCTCCACAGAACAAGAGCCTGCTAGCTTAGCTTCCAAAAAAAGATGTCTGACACTATGTGTACATTCTGTGAGTGAGATCCGCCCCTCTATGGGCGGGTTGAGAACATGCGGGACAGCCCCTACTACTGACTGTAGTCTTTAGCCTCTGGCCAAAAAATCCTCCGATGACGCAAAATGACGTTTTTTTGCGTCATCGGAGGATTTTTTCCAGACAAAAAATACATAAATCTCTCGCCTCAGGGGGATATGAGGGTGGAAAGCACGGTAATTTGAAAATACTACAGGTTTTCTACTAATACAAAGCTTAATGCTAAATCCTGAAGTATCCTTTTAACCTTTTTAACTCCCAGTTACAAGCAGCTCAATCATTATCTGACCATCATGTACCGGATGAAAATCCCATAGAGCCTATGACACATGCTGTACAGCACAGGACGTCCTACATAAAAAGGTGTTTTCATATGACACTGCATCAAAGTGTTCTGTTTAGAATAAACACAATGTTATCACTTGTGTTGATGTTCTCAGCTCAGGAATGTGAACAGTGACAGAGATAGTGAAGGGCTCTGTCTCTGTAAGCAGTCTGGCTTCGCATCATCAGAAGTGTCAACAGAAGGAAGTGTGGCGTTCTGGTCGATCAAAGGTAACCTCTTGGATTCAATCATCCAAGCATTAAATCTGCTTGTTACTTAAGTTATGTTTTATTTTAACTGCTCTGTAACTGCACCAGTAGATCAGTTTTATTCACATTACAAAATGTAAATAATATCCAACAAAGTATGGTTTATCATACACTACAGTAAGTTGTTGGAGTAAATGAAACAAAGATTATTGGAGAATGTTAAAAAAAAAAAAAAAAAAAAAAAAAACGCACTGTAAAAAATTACATTATTAATAAGTTATGACAACATATGTTTTTGCACTCATCACTTTTCAACTTTTTAAAAATAAATTATACAAGATTCAACTCAGTTTAATGTAATTTAAGTTGAAATGACTTATTTCAATAATATCCAAAAAATATCCAAGTTGCTTGTACTTACAAATTTAAGGCAACAACTTTTTTTTCTTTTTTAGTGTAGGCTAGGTGTCCTAACTACTTACTTCAAAATTAATTGTTTGGTGCATTGCACTAAGTGTGTTGATGATTTATTGCGAAACACTTGAGCTGCTATTGAGCAGGATATGGGTAAGGTTAGTCAGGACAGGTTTGGTGGTGTGGGTACAATTAAGGGTAGGTTAAGGATTAAGGGACGGTCAACAGTGTAATTGTAATGTAATTACAGAAATGAATACAGCTGCATTTACATTAAGGTACTTTTAAATACAAGTAGGCTACAATATAAAAACATGTATGTACACAATCAGTGCACTGTATTGCAAAATTATTAATTTAAATATTAGTTACACTTTTTTTTTTTTTTTTACAGTATGTGTACTTACAGTGTATTTGCCTAAGAAAGTACTGGTTAATATAAGGTAACTACATGGATTAAGGTTAGGTTTAGGGGTAGGTTCAGGGTTAGGGGTAGGTTCAGGTTTAGTATTACCTATTGCTATAATAAGTACTTGTATTTGTGGAACAGGACTGTAAAATAAAGTGCTACCTAAATATTAGTATAGAAGTTAAAGACACTTAATATACTTGCTGTTTCTTTGTAATTGTGAAATTGTGAGAGAAAAAATGCTAGTGTCATTTCTGACCACATCACGTATTTCATCACTATTTGTTTCTATAAGCCTATCCCTGCAGATAAGACTGTTTACACTTTGCACACTGTGTGTATGGGTGTGTTTGAAACACGTCACACTTGCGTATCCACATCAACGCTATAAAAGTGCAAAAGCTCAGATTCCAACAGACAGCTGGACAACAGTGACACTGCAACACCGAAACACAGATCCACAATGAAGGCCTTGTTCGTCCTGTTCCTGTTGCTGCCTCTCTGCATGGGTAAGTCAGGAGCCGCTTGCATTTCTTGTTTGACCGAATCACATCTGATCATTTACTGTCTGCTCAAGGTATTGTACTTTGTTGTTGAACTAGCTGAAAATAGATGAAATGACGTGGATTTCTACGGCATCAGCTGTTTTTTGTCTTCCACACTCACTTTATATTACTGTGTTAAGTTTAATTGAAATATTGCATGTTACTACAATAGGTATTCCCAAACAATCCAAAGACGGTCAGGTCTGGTGAATTGGAGACACTAAACTGCCCTTTAGATAGATAGAAACTCAGCATGCTTTTTTATTGCCTTTAGAAATCATCATTCGAAAGTTTAAATACTCAAAATTCATCCTGTACAAATCATTTTGAAATGGGACATTCTGTCACCATGGAAACAGTACTTTAAACCCTTTTAGCTGCTCTGGTGTCATGTTTCATATTACAAAATGTACTGCATTATTTTAGAATCAAAACTTTTTCTTATGTTGGCGAAACGTTGGAAAGTTATGAGACTCGAGGTTCCATATTTGGTGATTGTTTTGTGATAGAAGTGATAAGTGATAGAAGTGATAAGTGATAGAAGAGAAAGAGAAAAAGTCAATGGAATGTCACCTGGTGGCTATTTTTGGTACAACCCCAAAACAAATTTGCCTTTGGCTAAGCCACACCCTAGAATGTAGATTGACCAATCACAGCGCAGCCAAGAACGAGCTCCCACAGAGGTCCGACACTTTTTCACAGCGCTCCATTGACTTTAACACAGGCGTCTCATATTTTTGGTCTCGGCCGGCTATTACCGTCGTAGTTTTATCAAAAATATGGTTAAACGTTGTGCCTGGGGCATTAGTAACACAGATATGCGTTTCTCAGAGAGGTTGGAGGGGGGTGTCCGTTTTTTTCCCTTCCCAAACCGAAGTCAAATCCTGACAAGTGTCGTCTAGACTCTAGCACACACTGCTAATAAATACAACGTTATACTCGCGTAGTCCGTTTGCTTTGTAATAACGATTATAGAAGTGAATAGAGACCTCCAGCTTTGCATGAACAGTGTTGCTCCTTGATATTGTGAGTCCCAGCCTCCATCTCCATTAGTAGGATATGCGGTGGGTCATTTGTTGACTGTGTGACCGTATGCTTTTGCCTCTGTTTGGATGCCTTGTTGTTCCTTGCGTTTCACCTGTATGTCGTGAATATAGCCTTCGAACGTATATTGCAGCAGCTTTTGCCTACTTCTATCGGACACTTTATTTGCTGCTTTATAAAAGTTTGATAAAATTTCAGCAGGAAGAGCTGTCACAGCATAAGCCATGTTGATACCAGAGCCCAGATGAAGTTTGTTTGTCGGACGTAGCAACAGTAACTAAGGGGGGCGGGGCTTAGCCAAAGGCGAATTCTCATAGGAACCTCCATTTTTGTGATAACTTCAAATTTGGAACTCAACTTAGTTAGACATACGGGTTTGATGAATACACTACCGTTCAAAAGTTTGGGGTCAGTGAGAATTTTATTTTTATTTTTTGGAGGAAAGAAATCAATACTTTTATTTATCAAGGACAGTAAAGACATTTATAATGTTACAAAAGATTCTATTTCAAACAAATGCTGTTCTTTTGAACTTCCTATTCATCAAAGAATCCTAAAAAAAAACAAAAAAAAAACTGTACAACTGACAGACCAACAACTGTTTCAACATTGATAATAATAATAAATGTTTCTTGAGCATCAAATCCTCATATTATACTGATTTGTGAAGGATCATTTGACACTGAAGACACTGACACTGGTGATGCTGAAAATTCAGCTTTGATCACAGGAATAAATGACACTTTACTATATATTCACACAGAAAACAGCTGATTTACACTGGAATAATATATAATACTATAACTGATTTTTGTTGTATTTTTAATCAAATAAGCGCAGCCATGGTTAGCAGAAGAGAATTCTTTTAAAAGTATTTAAAATCGTACCGACCCCAAACTTTTGAACGGTACTGTATATATATATATATATATATATATGTAGTTTAAAATAGAAAAAGTGATTAGTAAGCTACATTAGCCTTACAGTAAACTTAAACTTCTATCATTTTTATTTCACACTTTAATTTTTTCCCAAGCGTTTAGATTTTAGCTATAATCTGCTTAGTACTTCTTTAAATTGAGACCAACCTTAGGTTTGTATTCCAAAACATTCATAAATTACAACTATTTAAGGTCGGCTATAGTGCATTTTCTCACGTCTATGTTCAAAAAGCAGGATGACAGTTAACAGGTAGAGTGTTTATTAGGTCTTTTAATGCAGGAACATTGTAAATGTCTGAAACCTCATTGTACTGTTCTTACAACAAACTATAATGGTCCGTTTGTTTGTTTGTGGTGCAGCGGATCATTCCATCGATTGCTATGGGGAGGATTTCCTGATGGTGAGGAACATGGTCCTGCACTGCAAAAGTAAAGTTCCTCAGGCCTGCTACACCAGAGGTAAATGAGTGCGCAAACTGCACGCTTCCACATTACGCAATCAGATCAAATCCAATTTTAAGATCAGAACGATTTCATCACAATGTGACTGACTTACCGTCGGTGTGTGAATGGGTGAATGTGAGGCAATATGTAAAGCGCTTTGGTGGCCATTGGGTTTATGAAAGCGCTATATAAATGCAGTCCATTTACCATTTTAACTTCTGTTGGAAACATCAAAGTTGTAAGTAGGGCACAACTAACAACCTGGTGTGAATTCCATTTTTAAAGTCATCTAAACTTTGAACAGTTAAATTCATCTGATTTTTAGTTGATTTTAAGACATTTAGCACATCACAATTGCCCATGGTCTCCTCATTTTGTAGATGTTTCAAACCCATCATCTAGGAAAAGGAAGATAATATTTGATAAACATTTGATTTGTTTCACATCTTCTCTTTCATAGTGACTGGAGAGAAGGGCTGCGTCAGCATGGACTTCTGTCAAAGGAAAGGCTGGAAATGCTGTTTTGAAAGCAAGTGCAATGCTTGATCTTCACACTAACAGCCAGCTTCCTTCATCACCATCCTTCTTTATTTTCCAACACCAATGCAACAATGTGACTTTAAAAAAAGAAGAAGAAAATTGTGACAATCAGACTGTGATTTCGTGTTCTTAATGTAGAAATCGGCTTGTTTACGTGCATTCTCATAATACAGTGAAGAAATAGTATTAATCATCCTGAAATCAACAAATAAATCAAGGTTTATTGGTACAGCAGAGAACAGGCAGTTTTTCTGAGTCAGGAAGAAATGCACACAACATAACCTCTCTCTCGAACACAGACTGAAGCAACCACTAAAGAACAAACATCATTCAAGGTCTGTTGCTTGTTTACTGGTCCAAACTTCAAAGTTTACAGGGGTATCAAGCTCTTTTTTTAATGTGTGTTTTATTTTATTTTTTGCTGGCTCACACAACTGAGGGGTCAAGGTTTTGCTGGAATGACTCGGACTCTGTTCGCCCCTGTTGGTAGATGTTGCAACTACACCATCTGGCAGAAAAAACATCTTTCTCCATTGACGGTCATTCAAAATTAGCTGTGTATTCTAACAAAATGTAGCATGAATTTTAGTAAGAGCTACTCAACTGAAAATCTCAAAGGCACAAAGTACAATCCCATTAGCCTCAAGGGCATTTTTCATATTCGTATTATGAACATTTTAATTAATAATCACAGTAACTATACGAGCGTATGGGACGCTCAGAGGGTTCAGTTAAGCACTAGTAGAAATGGTGGGGAGTAATGTATATATCAAGACATATGTGTTATAATTATTGCATACATAATATTCTTTCTAGCAATGCAACCCAAAATGTTTTTATGTTACACAACCGAACAGTAATAATGCCTATTTTTGATTAAGCAGTGAAGTTTACCAATGGTATCGGGTGCAGCGTGGGGTTTGATCTTAACATGGTTGCGTCCAGAATCGCAGTTAAGTCACCTTTATTTATATAGCTCTTTTACAATACATATTGTTTCAAAGCAGCTTTACAGTGACGACAGGAAAAATGATGCCTTTCGGCTGTTGTTCAGCTGTGTTGATTCAGTTCCGTTGTAAAGATCATCAATTAATAAATTAGTTCATTTCATCTATAAAGCAGTTTTGCAAAAAAACGATGTCATTGCCCAGCTCAGATCGGTTCTCATACAACAGCGTCAGTACAGTCAGATCAATAATCCTGTTAAATATTAAGTGTCCCCACTAAGCAAGCCAGAGGCAAAAGTGGCAAGGAACCCAAACTCCATCAGGTGACAGAATGGAGAAAACAAACCTTGGGTCAGTTCTCCTCTGACCAACGAACGAACAGTGTATGATTGTGATTCAGGCAGCATTACCGGTCAGAAGTCAGACTGGGATCAGTAGCATTTTAAAGTTCCTTTTGCTTGAAGAGTGATTCATCATGCTGGTCTTGAAGAGGTATGGAGCCGGATCTGGCCATAGGGTCTGTGTGGAGAACCTGTCTGGTTCTTTTGTCTCTGCTGAGGATCTGTGCCGATGTGTCGTGTCGACGAAGCCTTAACAAGGGGATTGTCTAGTAGACACGGTCTCTGGTGACATTCAAGGCTGCCTTTTGGTCGTGTCCAGGTGCAGGTCCACCATCTGATCTGGATACGGACCAGATCCAGCTGACTGTGGTAACCTCAGGGGATAAGGATGAGACAAACAGACTAATATTAGTTTAGATGCCTTTCTTCTTATGATGTAACGAGTACATCAGGTGTGTTACCGGTTCCGGTTAACCTAATTGATCATTCAACTGATTTGAATAATAAAAATTGAAGTGTATGCCAGGTTAAAGAGATTTTAGTCTAGATTTAAACTGACAGAGTGTGTCTGCTTCTCAATGTTAGGAAGACTGTTCCAGAGTTTAGGTGTTAAATAGGAAAAGGATCTACCGCCAGCAGTCGATTTTGATATTCTAGGTATTATCAACTGGCCAGAATTTTGAGATCGCAATAGACGTGAAGGACTATAATGCGTTAAGAGCTCACTCAAGTACTGCGGAGCTAAACCATTTAGAGGTTTACAAGTAATTAGCAAGATTTTAAAATGTATACAATGTTTAATAGGGAGCCAGTGCAGTGTTGATAGAACTGGACTAATATGGACCAGCTGGAGTTTGTTTAGTATGCGTGCAGGGCAACCACCCATAAAAGCATTACAATAGTCTAGCCTTGAGGTCATGAACGCATGAACTGTTACACATTTATCATTGAGAGCATATGACGTAATTTAGATATATTTTTAAGATGGAAAAATGCGGTTTTAGAGATGCTATAAACGTGGCTTTCAAATGAAAGATTGGTATCAAAGAGCACACCCAGGTTCCTAACCGACAACGAAGACTTAACAGAGCAGCCATCAAGTGTTAGACAGTATTCTATGTTATATCCAGAGGTTTTTTGTCCAATAATTATAATCTTGTTTAATTTTTTTTTAAAATTAAGTAATAGGAAATTACTAATCCAATTTTTTATATCAGCTATGCATTCCGTTAATTTAGTAAATTTGTAGGTTTCGTTGAGGCGCGAGGAAATATAGAGCAGAGTATCATCAGCATAACAGTGAAAACTAATGCCATGCTTCCTAATGATATCTCCCAAGGGTAGCATACACAGAGTGAACAGCAACGGTCCTAGTACTGAGCCTTGTGGTACTCCATACTGAACTTGTGATCGATATGACATCTCTTCATTTCCTGCTACAAATTGGTAACGGTCAGATAAGTATGATTTGAACCATGCTAATGCAATTCCACTAATGCAAATGCCATTTTCGAGTCTATTAAAAAGAATGTTCTGGTCTATAGTATCAAATGCAATGTAATAATGCATACTTCCCTACTACATAATAGTTGAAAAACAGTATGTGACAAAAGAAACAGCATGTAAAGCAAGTAACAGCTACTATTTCTGGTGAGATTCTGAAGTGTGTATACGATGGATGATGAGGTGAGGATTGTGAATGGCAGTGAAGCAACGCAACTGATCCTAGTTGGTCACATGATAATGACAAGATTGCGATATAGTACACCTGCGTCCGGAACACATTCATACTTGTACACTTTTAAACACTTTTTAGAGGCCGAGAAGCAATTACTTTTTCAAAATGAGTACCTACTCAAAAGAGTATGCGATTACAGGCGCAGGCCTGGTTTGTGAGAAAAAGAAAACTTGTAGAAACAACAGTGGTGTCGGACTTTATACTGACACCTACTGATGTGGATGTAGAAGCTGGCAAAAGCATTTCAGGTTTTCGGTTACAGAGGCCACACACCGGTGCTTTTGTCGCCCATGATTAATTTATCACATAACAAAAGAGTTGAATTATAGAGAAAGTTAAAGAGATAAAGTGAGCAATACTCAGCTGGTCATGAGTGTACACTGTTTTAAACATTTGTCAAAAGTATGTTTTATTATTATTTAGGTGTAAAACATTAGTGAAAGATCTTTAAATGGATAAATGGTAACACTTTAGAATACGGTTCCTTCGTTAATTAACTACACAAGAACCAATGAGTAACAATATTAACAATCTAGTAACTATTATCTAACAAGAAACTCTGATTAACGAACTAGTAAGTAATAGCACACAGATGAAAGTGGTAGTTCACTATTAACTAATCAATAACTACTATTTTTTTAATGCTTCCCAGAGACCTAGTGAAAAAGTTTATTAACAATCAAGTAACTTTTATTAACTAAAAATAAACTCTGATTAACAAATTAGTAAGTAATAGTGCACAGATGAAAGTGGTACTTTACTATTAACTAATCAATAACTACTATTTTTTTAATGCTTGCCAGAGAACTACTGAAAATTTTCATAATTCATGCAAAACTAATCAATAACCAATGCAGGACAAATGACTAGCACTACATTAACATTTTAACTGCTACTGTAAACAATACACAAGGTTGTTTACATTATTAATTTGTAATAGCAAAGCAGACTTATGATTTGGGAAAGCTGTTAATAATTGGCCTATGCTGTCTATTTATCAACTGAATAATTTTAAAGAAATGGATTTTTAAATGCAGTTGTCGGGACCTTACTTGTCCTGTGGCCAATTTTCCGGCATTCCTCTGGACTGGCATTGAATCACTAGAGTAATGGTGAGTACTGGGACATATTGAGTCTTCAGCCACCCTAATACCATATACAGTGATTTTATTATTTAATACCTCCACAAAAAATATGTTTTTATGTATGTCTCCTAGCTCATATATATGTGTGTGTGTGTGTGCATGTCTTGTGAGTGAGAAGATTCTACACTTTATAGGCTTTTCATTAGTAACTACTGTAAGAATCATGGGAACAAACTAGTAATGACTCAAGTGTTACTACATAGTTCTATGGGAATTACTAATTATTTGGATCCTTATTCTAAAGTGAAGATCATGGGAACTAACTAGTAATGTCTCATCTGTGCGGTGCGCTATTACTTACTAGTTCATTAATCAGAGTTTTTTGTTAGTTAATAATAGTTACTAGATTGTTAATATTGTGTTACTCATTGGTTCGTGTGTAGTTATTCATTAATGAAGGAACCGTATTCTAAAGTGTTACCGGATAAATGACATCTCCAGAAGAAAAACACAACAACTGTTTTTAAAATGTTTCTTTATTTTCTAAATTCTTCAGTATTTTCTGCCCATTGGCAGGAATGCATAAGAGACAGATTGGCTCAAACTTTGTCACAAGAAAAAAAAGAAAAAAAGTTGCCTTTCCAAATTTCGTTAACATCATTGAATCATTTGCATAATCAGGATCATCATTGTTGTTTTCATAACGGTCATTCTTTTCATCAAAAAAAGTTTAGCTTTTTCTCCGCACCATTATTCGATGAGTTTATAATCAGACACCCTGCAAACAGTAAAGCATTTGGAAGTCCAGAGCTGTACTCAAGCCCAACATTTCCTCCAAGTGTAAATACAATCACCAGCTGGACGTTTGCATTTCCTCTCTCTCCCGTGTATGTTTTGGAAATTAGCTCTTGGATATTAGCAGATATAAAAACACTAACAACAGTCTCCTCAACGGTGAAGGCCAATACATTGATATCAATGGTTTCTGCGTAGCTTTCCTCGTGTTTTTGAATACTCTCTAAAAATACCCAAAACCCTCACCATTACTACTTCCAGCACACCATTCTTTTCAACATCAAATAACAAGGCAGATCATCAGCAACATTCAAACAGCATTTGTGTACTATGCAACGCTCCGTTCGGCTAACCGCTTTCAGATAAACGAGTATGTTCTTGGAAGTGGCAGGTCTACAGAAAAGCCCTGGAGTCTCCAACGCATCCGAACTCATGCCACAAGGCGAACGATCCCTCACTTTTCTTGCGGATGAAAACAAGCTCCTAAATCACTAAATGGCATGAAGCATTGCCCTTGCACTTCAGAGCACCGCCCTCCCCACAAAATAGTTATATACATACAGGTACACCAATATATACACAATAAAGCCAGCCCTGAATGCAACAACAAAGATGACAACGAAGGTGTGTGAAAGAGCGACGTACCCGCCTTGTGTAAAGATTCTGAGAGTTGCCCTTTTGATATCAATGCTGTGTTGAAGATTCATGAGGCCAGACGTTCAGGCAAGTGGCCCCAAAAGTATTTTGATACTTAAGTCACACTAAAAGAGGTCCGAATGCCATTACATTAGATCCAATATGAATGATAATGATCGCTTTTATGAGCCATTTGTCAGCTGGTGATTTTAGTGCATGTATTAAGTGGGCACTTTCATCTCAAGTTCACACTGGTGTCCTAGCAGAGGAACCACAGAATCACATTAACTATCAAAATGATCCACTAACGTTTGACATCCACAATGTGTCACAGTACTTTTGTCTTCATTTTGAACTCATTCAAATGTCTTTTTTTGCGAAATGTCTTGCTTGAAAAGTGTGCATGTACCATGTTTCTATAAAGTAAATGCCACTTGTATTTACTTGACACTTCCCTAACTAGGCCTAATGCTTTGAAATTCATACATTTTAAGTGTGGCTTAAGTGTCCCACTGTACAGGTTTTGCCTAAGACAAAAAAACATGGAAAATCTAACTAAGGCAATCTCAGTGAAAACCTTCCCACTTGCTTAAAAAAAAAAAACAGGAGTAGTCCATAAAGCGTACATAAAAAAAGGTATAAAAAGTTAACTGCAGACCAGCTGAGGGGCATTCAACTACACACCATCTACAGCGCAACAGTTGCATAAACACACAAACACCACACTCCATCTACCCATCTAAAGCCACCTAATCGACTATTACATCATCCATTTCATGCACTTCACTTCATGCAAATCACCTGGATCAGACACACATACTGTATGAATGTGAGGCAGTTGAGTCTTGACATCCTTCAATACTGAGTATCTGAATGCTGATGTGTATTATATTAAACACATCACAGAAGATTGTCATTCTTTCACAATAAAAGGAAGGAAACCCAAATGACTGTAAAAGTGTATTTGTACCAGGTTTCCCAATCCCATACGCCATTACAGCATCACATCCTGAAATCTGAGTGTGTAAACCATACCTTTGTCCACAGAGACTGCACAAACAGAGCAATTCAATGCTTCCCTCGTAAAGCTGGTTTGAAAGCTGTTTTCATGTCTTAATATTGATGATTTCGGTTCTCGTTCATCAAGCAGCCGGAGGAATCTCTGTCTTAGCAGCTGCGCTCGTGTTTCTCTGATTTTGATTCTTTTTCTCGGAAATCAATCGCTTCATCTCATGATACTGAAGCATGTAAAACCCATAGCTTGTATATTGATTATTTAGTTGAGCTTCTTTTTCATCCATATTTCCATGCATTGTTGAGGGAAACCCATAAAGGCTTGGGAGCATCCTCTATCATGGAATCATGGAACAGTGTTGGTATCATAATATGGTAATACCATGGTATTTTTTGAGTAACCCCTAAAGCAGGGGTAGGCAAGTTCGGTCCTAGAGAGCCGCTGTCCTGCAGAGTTTAGCTCCAACACTGAAAAAAACCTCTCCTGCCTATAGCCTTAGTAATCCTGAAGACATTGATTAGCTTGTTCAGGTGTGTTTGATTAGGGTTGGAACTAAATTCTGCAGGACAGCGGCTCTCTAGGACCGAACTTGCCTACCCCTGCCCTAAAGGGACATGAGGAAGATACCAAAAAAAAAATTAGATGGGAGAAAAAAATATTATATTGCGTTCTCTCCCAAAAGTATTGTTTTCCCCTGAGAATTTTTGTGTGCACTCGCCAATACTTGTGTGAAATCGTATGAGGTTGGAGGAAAAACTATACTTTAGTGCTCGAACGCAAAGTTTCTCTGGTGAACGCAATACTTTTTCTATTGAATGCAAATGTTTTGCAAGAGAACGCAAGTTTCTTTATATATATATATATATATATATATATAAAGATACCATACTAAAATGCCATGATATTCCGTCCTGTCAGTGTCAAAAAAAGGCCCAATTTTCCTGAATTAGCCCTATGGTACGAACAATACCATAATAATACCAACAACAACAAAACGGTATTATCATGGTACTTTCTGGTGCGATTACAAAAAGGAGTTGAGGGAAACATTCGTTATTCCTTTGACTTTCTCTTTTAGACTCTCTCCAAAAAGAGTGATCCTGAGAAAATGTGAGGGAGAGAGGGAATGAAAGAAGCGGCGACTCGCGTGCACATACACACTCACGCACGCACATTTAAGACTCGTTTAATCTTTCGTTTCTCTCATACGATAAAAAACAAGAACATCTCAGTCCAGTCCCAAAATGAAACCTAAAAACAATCGAGTCTCAGTGAGAAGAGAGTCGTTTGGATGAAGGATTAAAACGGATGGGATGAATCCACAGAGGAGATCTCCAGTCTGAAAGGCAGATGTGAGGGTGGTACGGCATCTTTAGACTGACGCTGGGGGGATTTATCGCCATGCAGACCCCATCTTGAGGCAGGTCAGGCTCGTGTGCTGTTTATGGCTATTCTTCTGTAAAGAGGCGATGATAATCATGCCGAGTTGAAATTCAAGGTGTCCTTGGACTACGGCCTGAATCGTTGAGGTCCTCGAGTCCGACCAATGAGCCGGGGCCCCTGTCTGGCGTCACCAGATATACATTGTCCAGTAGTTTTTGGCTCAGGGAAAGATGCTATTCAAGCATGCAAATCAGCTTCACATGCAGTCCTCCACCAATGTTCACAGAGAATACAAATGAGCATCATGTGACCTCATTAAAATGGTTATTTTAACATCATTCACTCACCCCCATTTCGTTCCAAACCTGTACGACGACTTGCCTTCTGTAGAACGCAAAAGAAGATATTTTGAAGAATGAAAGTCAAAGGGGTCCATTGTTGTTTTGGACTCAACTGACTTTCCTGGTATTTCTGAAAACATCTTCGAAACATCTTTAAAACACTTCAAAACAACGTCTTTTGTGTCTCACAAAAGAAAGAAAGTCATACAGCTTTGGAACAATATGAGGATGAGGATTTTTATTTTTTAGGGAACCATCTCGTTAAGCGAGGAAAATCAATAAGAGTCTTGCTGTATATGCCAAATGCCAATAGATTGAAAGCATGTGTCCATTTGTGTGTTAGTCTGTGTATATGAACTTGCACTTTGTTTGGATCTAAAACTGGTAAATCCTTTTCCCTCTTTTTCCCCCATGTATCACAGTTACTGATGTATGCATGTGTGTATTAGTGTTCGTGTGGTCAGTGTAAACCTGTAGGTGTGCCAAATCTTTTCAGAGGTTTTCAACTACACATTCCTAATCCCTCACCATCCGAGTCGGACCAACGCCTCCACGACCACATCCGCTGAACAAACCGTCAACGTAACAACAAACTAAGACACGAAATGAAAAGAAAATCTCGAAAGGATAAAAACTGAGAAGACTCTGCTTTTGTAATCCGACAGGAATTGGAGCAGGCGAGAGAAGGGGTCGGGCCGCTTTATAAGGGGGGGTTAAAGGGCATGCCCTCGTCACTGGGCGTGGCCGTATCGTCGCTAGGCTCGAGGCTGTCCTTAGGGCTCAGGGTGCTGTCAGAGAGGGACGTGGCCTCATCTGAAGGGGGCGGGGTCTCGGCCGAGCCATCCTGCTGTCCATTAGGAGTGGCCGTGTGCAGGGGTTCCGGGGGCGTAGGAGGGGGAGTGTTGGTGTCAGGCTGGGTGCTGATGGGTAGCGAGGCTGGCACCGGCACGGGCTCAGTAGGAGTGTGGGGGACGCTGGGTACCGACGCCACAGGGCGAGGGGTGGAGTTGTGCAGCAGGGAATCGCCCAGGCCCAAGCTGGAGTCGCTGTGCACCAGGGAAGAGGTCTTTTCCACCAGACGCCACTGCATGATGCTCGTGTCCTTGCCGCCCGTTGAAATCAGGTGACTGTCGCTGTGCATGAAGCTCACGTTGGTCACGTGACTGCTGTGGGCGCTGTACTTGTGGCTTGGGGCCTGCAATTAAATAACATAACCAATCAAATTTCAGATAAATCAATGACATAATCGCCCTGGCCTTAGGAAATTCACTAGCCTGGTTAAAACCAGACCATTCTCAGTTGTAACTGAGTTATGGTCTGGCAAAGCGTCATAGACAAATCATTTCCAGAGGGGCGTCACCAACGGACGTCGCGGATAGACCTAAACCCAATCAGAGCGATGAAGGAGATGACGTATGCAGAGCGGCGGAGACACATCTCCGAGTGTTGTTCTTTGCTCGGTTTTTAACTAAAAGGGAAACGTTCAAATCGCTTAAAACAGACGCGATAGCTGACTCGAACGAGTGATGTTCGACGGCGGCATCCATCTTTGTAATGTAGGCTACAAAATCTGCTTTAAAATCCCAGCGCTGTCGTCATCGTGTAAAGCCCGCCCCAACGTTTCTGATTGGTGCCTCGATTTCGGCGGATTGGAAATGGGCTTGAATGAGCTCTTTGCCAGACTAACTTGCAGAGCAAATCTAAATTTGCCGGAAGTTGTCTGGGTTTTCCCAGGCTAGAAATTCACCCAACTACGTTCAGACTGCAGGAAGATGATGATTCAAATCCAAAAAATTTTTCTCATATGCGAATCAGATTGTTTTTTTCCATAACAGTGTAAACAGCACATGGAATCTGATCTTTTTTATTCTGATTTGGGCCACTTCCAAATGTGGTCCTAAATCAGATACAGGAATGATGTTTAGCAATGCGAATTTGCAGTCTGAACCGTCATATTTCATGCGACTTTCACATCACTACATTCGTCACAGTTCTGTGCCAAGTGTGCCACTCAAGTCCTAAAAAAATGTGAAGCCAAACCGCCTCGATCGCCCCCAGGTGGCTGTACGCAGTATAGGTCGTAAACCCCGCCTCTCCATGTAACGTAATGTGACATGAGACAAACTAAACATCAAATTACACATCAACAAATTTGTTCCAAAGACGTTTTCTGACAAACCACGTGTTTGCTTCTGTGATCATCTCTCCGCATGCCATCGGGATAAACTGCTCTAAGCTATAGTAGTGAAGATGGTGTGAGTGACAGACCTTTGGTCTTGAGCAGGGATACTGGAAAAGATGCACTTTACAGAAGTCATCAGCCAGAGCGATCACCTTCCTGTTGTGAGATCGCACCAGGGCATTGATATCTGTCCCGTCTGAGCCCTCCGGCCAAACACCTGTAACACACACACACATCACAACACTGTGACTACAAGAAAGATTCTATCAATTTAATAACTACCGTACATTCATCATGAGCCTGTCACTATTAAAACAATGTAGCTTTTCAAACAAGTGATATTTCCAAGAAACGTGGAAGAACAAAACATTACATCATGCTTATTATTGCCTCGTTTGTTTTTCCACCAAGCGAGACATAAACGGGTGTATCACACACACTTTTCTAGAATGTTCTTTCCCATATGCAAGTCATTTTAGTAATTCAAAGGCTATTTTTACACTGTGAACATTTCAACCAATCATAGATCATATTGATGTGGATATGTTTGCACAAGCTCTGTGTCACCATCATATCAACAGATAATTCAAATTACAATGTTATGATAGATCGATTATAAAGTATATTTGAGACTATAGACTATACCTAGGAAGTCTCATTTTTTAAGTTTCATTACAAGCTGTTCACACATTGGCAATAGAAAAAAAAGAAGTGATTATTACATGAACATTCTTACATATAGCCCCTTTAAACAATTGCATTGATAAATATGGTTCATCACTGCTTTTAATTTAATACTATAACTTAAAATGTTTATTAAAGTGTTTTATTGTTTATTCTTTATTTTTTATTTTTTTTACATTTTTATTTAATGTGCAAATTTGTAATTTAATCTTAAACTGGTAGCAAGTAGTAATAAAATTCAATTCCTTCTTAATTTTAACAAGGCAAGGAATTTATTGAGAATATAATATTCATTAGCACATAGACACCTCACCAGTGTCAAAAACTATGATCATAAATGGATGAGGAGCCTTCAGCAAGATCACCAGCAGGAGGCAGAAGAACACCAGGTACAGGACAGACACACACACACACACTTTTCTGTAGCATCATTCATCGTACTGCTCTAATCTATTGGCTCAGTGCTGAGGAATTTGTACAGTTCTACCAAATATTTTTCCAGTCTAATAAAGTGCTAAAATATGTGGATTTGTGGTGAAGACTGGGCTGTCTTTGTTCAAAAGCACACAGTGTAAATGTGCAGCCGTCTCCAGCATTACAGACAGCACACTCCGCTGACAGATAAAGTGACTTCTGTGGCCTGAACTACTTTTGGCTTTTGTAAATCATCCTGCTTAGACATGAAGTCACTCAGAATCGGAGCGAAATTACAACGACAGACTATAATTGCGTGAATAAAGACCGAGGGAAGCGAGAAGAAAAGGGAGAACAGATGACTGACAATCAGACTAATAAACAGGTGATGAGCAACATGTGTCAGAAAATGAGCTAAATATGACAAAACCTTCCTCTGGGGGACATCTCCATTTACACACACTATATATACGGCATATTACTAGACTGCATACTACTATAATGTAAAAAAAATATTTAAATAGAAAACAGTTATATTAAACCGTAATAATATTTCACAATATTACTCCTTTTACTGTTGTTTTGAGGATGAATATTCTTTTACACACACGCGCACACACACACACACACACACACACACACACACACACACACACACACAAAGTAAAAAAAAAAAAAAAAAAAATATATATATATATATATATATTGGGGTTATGTTTATAATTTACTTTATAGAAAAACAATAGAGGTCCGACATGTCCTCATTTAGACTGCCAGTAACTGTGTGTTGGTGTGTGTGAGCGAGAGAATGACTTAGACCCCCTCAAGACTGAACCACTGACAGGAAATGAGTGTGAAATAGAGCATACAAATACCAGACACACGTTTGGAAAAAACTGACGAGACATGCATACGCAGAACACACACACACACTACTCATAATACATAATCAATGCAGGCGTCCTTCTAACCAATTTTCAGTCATAAGTCCCATAATGCATCACTCCACAGATACTGACCAAAGACGTGGAACCCGAGCACACAGGTGTACGAGGCCCAGTCGATGTCCTTGCACTCAGAGCGGTTACGAATCAGCTTACAACCGTTTGGAATGTCCCCTGTGGAAGAGAGAAAACAAAACACAACGTTTCAACGACTTTTGGTCCAAAGGCAAACACAAACCACGAGCTGAAACAGTCATGGTGAGTTTTACCCAACCAAAGACACAAAAAATGTTATATGATCGGACATTAATGTTTTTCAGAGAGACTGAGAGCTTTTTTCTGCGGTCAGACACTTACAGTAAAGGATTTCATAATCTCCCGAGTTGGACATGATGAACTTGTTGTCGGGGGACCAGTCAAGATGTGTAATGTAGCTGGAATGTCCCTGAGGAAACAGATTAAAAGATTTGACAATGAAAAAGGGGGAAGAAAACAGTTCGGTAACACTTTACTTGAAGGGGTTTACATAAGACTGACATGACACCTTCATAACCATGACATGACATATGTCATGAATATGAAGTAGGGTTTATGCATGTTTATGACAACTGTCATTAAGTGTCTTTCGCTCAATAATGACATTTTTAATGCAAATATGACATTGTTTAAGATTGTCTTTGTTATGACATCTTGACATAAACCAATAAAACATAATCATTCAGTGTCTTTGTCATGACAACTTGACATTAAATTAAGTTAAACTGTCATGTGGTTGGTTTTGACATTGGCTGTCATGAGGCCATTATAACTGTGTCATGAATATTTTTCTTGACCTCAACTACAGTGGTACAAATTGAATTTGTCATTAAACAGTTATAATGGCCTCATGACAGCCAATGTCAAAACCAACCACCTGACAGTTTAATGTAATGTTAACCCATAAAGCTAAAGTGGTTTCTTAAGTTTGATAATTAATCTGCTATGTCATGTTTATGACAGGTTGTGTTGTCTTAGTAATGTCAAGTTGTCATAACAAAGACATCTTAAACAATGTCATATTTGCATTAAAAATGTCATAATTGAGCGAATGACACTTAATGACAGTTGTCATAAACATGCATACAACTTCCTTCATATTCATAACATGTGTCATGTCATGATTATGAAGGTGTCATGTTAGTCTTATGCACACCCCTTCAAGTAAAGTGTTACCAACAGTTCTATCACAGCATTTGTTAAATCAGAACGAACTGTTATGGATCACAGCGCTGCTGTAGGAGGACAAAGACGCTGACAGGAATAATTCCCCCCAAAATCAAAAGAAAAAAAAAAGTATTCCAGGGAACACAAAAGAAGACATTTTGTAGAATGGCTAAGCTCATCTTTTCCCTGCAATGCAATTCAGTGTTTTTATACGGTTTAGTTCCAAAGAAAGCACTGTAAATGTACATTCATTCTAAGACGTCAATAGCCACACAATATCTTTATGCAAGGAAAAGACCAAAACAATGTCAGAAAACTTGCATCTCCATATTTTGTCATTTTTGTTATTATTTTAATTTTATAAATCATCAAATTCATACAATCATTAGTCAGTCTGTGGGTTTTGCAAATTTTTAACCAATGAAAAGTAATAAAAAGAGCTTGTGACTAAACCTCGTGTCTCCATTGGATCCTCAAACTGTCAGTCAAACCTCATAGCTCCGCCCACCTCGACCGGTAATGACGTGCCGCACACGCTTCAGAGCGTCTCTGCTTGAGTAAATAATGAACTGGTTCTTTGAACAGGTACCGAGTTTTTAATGCTCAAAGAACGATATATAAAGGCTAATGTTTTATGTATTCGAGGAGCGGAGGAGAGTGTCTTAATCTAGCGTTTGTCATCGAGTCACAGCCAATACGGTCTTAAATAGCTTGTGTGAAGCACGTCGTCTTTAATAACTTTATTATTTTGGCCAAATGACAGAAAAAACTGAGCACCCACATTGCTAAAATAAACCCAATAACCTGTAAGTCGATGAAAATATAATGCGATGCACTTATTGCCTCAGATGCGGACAATCAAAACATGCATGTCCGAAATTGTTCAGAAAAGTAAAAGTATGCTAAAGCGTGCGTCTTTTTCACAAGGGAATTACACATCCTGAAGACTTGGAATGTGGCGTACGAGTTTGATCACTTTTATGATCGTTTTAGGGTCTTTTGTTGTCCTTTTTGGAACTTGACAGCAAATGAACATCCATTTTTCAATGCATAGAAAAGAGCAGCTTGGACATTCTGAAAAATATCTCATTTTATAAACATATCTCAATATTTCACAAAAGACACAGTCATACAAGTTTAAAACAACATAGGGGCGAGTAAATAATGATTTATTAGGTAATCCAGCTCAGGATGCATGAAATCAATTGAGTTCAAAAGTCTAAAAGCACTCATCTCCAGTGAGACAGGAACCGTCTCACAGACACGACAACTAATCAAAGGATTGGAAATAATAATGCATAAATAATGCTGGAAGGGTTTCCACCCAGCTCAATCTCTGCTCATCTGATTTGGCACTGACTTATCCGAGTCCACAGGCTTCACTCCCACATGAGCACTGACATCTTTATGTGTGCGAGTGTGTGTGTGTGAAAGCCTGCTATCTGCACACTATCTAGTTCCCTCTAGAATATAAAGATCACCTATCGCTCCATTGCCAGCTTTCATACACATCCTGACATGTGATTTATGTAGGTCAGAAGAAGCCCAGCGTTCCCACGCTGCACATGGTTTACGGCTCAACGGTGCTTTGCTTGGGATTCTCGACCTCGACAGTATTTGGACACTTTTGCACACTTAAGTCAAATTAAAAAATGTATGAATCTCAAATGAATTGCGTAGATAAACCTGCATTCAAATCCTGGATTTTGTTTCAAAACTAACTTCACTTTTCGGAGCCATTTTTACATACTTAATCAGCGTGGTGATCTGTAGTTCTTTTGACAAATGTTTTCTGGAAAATGTGTTTTTTTGAGGTATTTGTCTTTACAATAAATCACTCAGTTTAATATTATGAAGTTTTGCTTGCGTGTCCAAATCCGTTTTGAGGCCACTGTATGTGTTCATCGGCTCGAATCTGTGTGTGAGTAACATGCTTCAGCTACACAGACAGACACACACACACACACGGCCTGACAAGAACTGTCCACTTCTGCCAGTAATATCACAATTCAGTCATTCTATGAAAGGAGGATAATGTGTCCATTCTTGATGAAGGACGCTAAATACAGAAATCTGCTTTAAGTGTTTTTCAAGTGAAAATATTGTACGTTAAAACATGTGATGATGGTGTATTTTTTTATACATATTTTAAAGAAGTATATTACTGTTCATTAATTTGTGGCCTGTGAGATAAAAAAAATTATATTCAGCAAGGGTACATTAAATTGATCAAAAGTGACATTTATGATATTATATGTTTCAAATAAATGCTGTTCTTATTTAATTTATATTCAAAGAATTCTAAAAAATATGCATTATGCATCTGTTTTCAACATTGATAAAAATAATAATAATAATAATAATAAATGTTTCTTGAGCATCAAATCATCATATTAGAGTTAGATTTATAAATTAGATTTATGAAGGATTATGTGACTCTGAAGACTGGAGTAATGATGCTGAAAATTCAGATTGATGATAGAAATTTTAAAATACAGTAAAATAAAAAACTTATTTGAAATTGTAATAAAATGTTACAATATTACAGTTTTACTGTATTTTTGTTTACATAAACGTGAGCAAAAGAGACGGTCGTGTAATTCGATGTATATGCCATATAGCCAGACATATTTCTATTCAAAATTCAACATTTTGTCATGATAAAATGTGCAATGGTTTTCCCATTGAAAATATATCAAATCACATTTATTTTATATAAAAACAACTTTCTTTAAAACTGGATAATTCATTTGTGTCCATGAATTTGGGTTCACAATTGGATATTTCTGTCTGACAGAATGTATAAATCTTCCCCTGTAAGACCAGTTTCAGAGAGCTGTGATCTAGCACAGATGTGAATGCCATAAAACTCCTCAACAAGCGCAGGAGAGCTATCAGAAGACCAGCGGTGTGACAGAGCGTGTTGATGTGGTTCAGACACGCACAGTAAAGTTTCATTCTCCGCTCTACTCTGATCCCTCGCAATAGTGGAAATACACAAGAACACAGCCATCAAGCAATGACATGAACCGTGGAATAAGTTACTATCTTTTATTGATGGGTTGATGAAAGATACTTTAAAATGCTTTATCTTTGTATTCTTATTTGTTTCATACATGTCTAAACCATTTTCAACCAAAAAATAAGATTTAAATACATTAAAGGTACAATATGTAGGATTTTTGCAGTAAAATATCTATGTTTTGTTTAGTTGATTACTTACAATATCCCAAATGTTTCCAACTATTTGTAAATCGTGAGAAAATTTCGATGTTAACCAATGAAACGGGGCGTGTGAGCAGGGGTGAGGAGTCGCCAGGCAATGACGTCATATCCGCGTTAACCCCCGGTTCCCGCCAGGTTTGACCTCGTACTGCAACAGTAACCATGGCGATAGACGTTGACAACTTGTTCAAACATTTTGGACCATGGCAAGCAGACTTTGAGACAAAAAGAGGACTAGAACGAAGATCACCATCTTTCGAGATGCCGAGAGCGTCACGTCCGCGACTAACTTCGACTTGACAGAGACGCGAGTGTTGCATGTACTTTATTAGACAGGTGAGCAAATGTACATAAAGCTAATCAATGTTATTTAGTTCAACATGATGAAATGTTAGAATATGATCTGTATGTTATTCTAATGTTGATCTGCTAGTCTCATACAGCCAACAAACAACCTAACTAACAACATTCAACACACTCAAATGCCGTTTAGTGTTGATAGTATAACTGTTAGAGCGAGTGAAACAGCGCTGCGTTACCTCAAGTTTCATTCGTCTAATAAACTGACCTGGCGCTGGTAACGTTATACGTCTAGCAATCGCGCCCTGCTTCACACCACAGTCAAGTTAAAAACATCACTGTATTCACTCATCCATGAAAGATCCATCAGCTTGACGACAAGATCCATAATTCCGCTTGATGCTTTGCGTCATCGATATACGCCTTTGTTATTGTAAGAGGTTAGCGACCCCTGGTGGCCAAAAATCCTGCATATTGTACCTTTAAGTATTATTTTCAAAAACATTTATTTTTTTAAATCTTGAATAGATGAAATTTGTGTCAGGACAAGCACCAGTAGTAATGCTTAGGGAGTTAAACCGCCCCTATTACAGTATGCTTATTTCGGGTATTACCTTTCATGCAGTGTGTAATATATCTGTTTGTGAATGTAAAAGGTCTGCAAAGTTTCAACGGTCAAAGTGCAGATAAATGGGGTTATTGTGTCCTAAAAGAAAGAAGTGATTCTGAACTGCCTGAAACGAGTCGTCAGTAACTCCAGTCTCAATTCCTCCACAAACACTGTAAAAGAAGTTGCTGCCTTAAATTTACAATTTAAAGTACAATCAAAGTCATTTCACCATTAATTACATTAAACTGACTTAAAAAAAAATGAGTTGAATCTTAAATAACTTAATTCCTTAAATTAGTTTGACGAGTTAAAGTAATGTAAAAACATATTTTGTCATAACTTATTGATCATATAATTTTTTACAGTGTGTGCTGATATGGTAATGAGCGTTTGGTTTCCGATATGCGCTGTAAGCAGTCGACCAATCATAACAGACTGGGCCGTCTGACCAATCAGATTTCAGACTATGTGAGAAAAGAGCTGATGCTTGAACGTAAATTATGAAAACAAATATTTTTTTGACCTTGGATACATTTAAACCTATTGTAGGAGACCTTCAAAACTAAATTAGGAATTTTTAAAATAGCAAAATAGAGGCACTTTAATGCGCCTTCTGTTTAATTTCACAGTGAGCTGTTTTTAATTCTGTGCAAACAACCATGTAGACGTCAGATACTCACAGTGCATTTCCCATATCTGCTGTATTTGCGTCCCTTATCCGACACGGTGTAGAGGTAAATGAAGTTATCATGTGATCCCACTGCCAGCAGCGTGCCATCTGGGAAGAGATCGCGAAACGGTGAGCAAGAGGGACATTTGGCTGTCGGCTCAAAACACACACACACACACACACTCACCGACAGAGAAGCGCATCACTGACAGCTGCTCATTGCCGTCTGTGTGAATGGCCACCAGGTCTCGAGTCTCTGCGTCCAGGGCATACCACCTGACACACACACACACACACACACACACACACACACACACACACACACACACACACACACACACACACACACACACACACACACACACACACACACACAACACTGTCTGAACTGCAGCCGCTAAACCTTTTTAGTGGTAAATGGATGGATGCCAAATTTCCCAGTAGAGATGACAGGTCACTTACTTCCCTGAGTGAGTCCCGATGGCAACAACCGAACCGCTAGGATGGAAGTCTGCGCAGTGCCCGTGCTCCTAAACACACATCAATGAGGAGGAAAAAATATGAAAATATGAAATATGCATTGATTTGAGCTGTTTGAACTTATTTTCAATTTTGTTTTGCCTCGTTTAAAATAATGTTAAGCCATTTTACAGCCGTCTGGGAAGTGTGCTGTCGCCCCCTAGTGGTCCAAAGGTTTGGATAACTTTAAAGCTATTGTAAAAAAACTGATATGCGCACATCAACTAAATTCTGTATTATTGCACCATTACAAATGTAAACAGCCTGCATATAAGATGACAAGGGGTAGTTAGTGGATATCTGGGGCGAGGAGTCCTTTTTATGAAGTATCTTTCAATCTTCAGCGAGTGCTTTGATTATAAATGAACCGCTGTTACAATAGGCGCTTCTGTGAAAACGTTTTGGTATTAACCGAACTGTGCAACTTGTCTTTTTATTGATGCCTCAGTAAAAATAAAAGATTTGCAAGAACCACTTATGTTGTGGCATGTGTTGTAAAGTTTGCCAACAAATCCCTCAAGCACGTCTATTTATTCTGCTTAGTTTTTGGAGTTGCTTCTGGAATATTAAGCATATATTACATCTGGATGAAGGGAAAGTTTGACAAAGTCAAACAAACAGGTTTAATCCCTTTGGTATTTTCTGAATAATGAAACACTGGGCTATAAGTTAAAATACTGTGACATTTTGTTTTTGAATAATAAGATACAAAATGCACAATTTATGGCAGTAACCAGTGAGATTAAGCACAGAACATAACTGTAGTCCTAGTTGGTCTTAATTGGAGGCTGATGAACTATATTACCTGGAAAAAGGGTGGCGTATTTTGTGCATTATTACGAACAACTGTAATATTTAAATTAGCATTAGCTTGACAGTAGCAGTGTTTCCTATCCAAGGTTAAAAAAAGCTAATAAAGCAGCGGTCACGAAAGCCTATCGTTTGTGTGCGTTTTTAACCATTGCCGTTTAAAAACAATTCATTTTAAACCGTTGAAACGCAACACGCAGCGAAAGAGAACTTATTTCACTAAATGCCCGATCGTCTGAGAGACTGTTCGAAGCCGCTGCTCATAAAGTGTTTGAATAATGAGTTCTTTTTGCCGCCTAATTGGGCTCGAACGGTCAAATACACACACTTGTGTCAAAAATGCCCATCTTTATGTCTTAAGTGAAGGTAAACAGCTGAGAAAGAAAACGCATGTGTAACAGTATATTGGATCAGTGCATTCGCTCTAAAAGTGACAGCAGTGTAATAAACCGGCTGCCGTCTGTGCTATTAATGTTCATCAAACAACAAAAAAGAGAAAATCTCTCAATGCGCTTGACTGAATCACTTTTTCAGTCAGAATACATGTAGTTTCAATTTACACAGTGAAGATATTCAATGTTTTGTTAAACATTTGATTACTTTTTACGATTTCTGTAAGTAGTTTTTCAGGTAGGGTCTATTTCTTTGTTCTGTTGTAATTTGTCGTCTTATTGCTTGTAATTATTTTCTTTCTTCTTATGTTATCACTGACTGTTTACTTGTTTTCAGTAAGCTTGAGAGTTTTTTATATAGGGTAGCATTAGCTCTATTTGTGAAGAATTATGAAATGTCAATGGAATAAACATTTTTGATAATATAAAAACCTTATTTAAAGCAAAAAGAATATATAGATCATTATCGTGAAATACAATTACTCATATCATGATGTAAGATTTTGGTCATGTCGCCACCACATCTAACACTGAGCGTGAGAGCACATGTCCGCAGACGTGTGTTAGTGTGTGTGTGTCTTACGTCCAGCAGTCTGGTCCATTCCAGCGTGTGGTCCACTGAGCTCCAGAGACACACCTGCCTGTCCTGAGCACAGGAGAGGAACAGGTCCTTGAAGGGGTGGGACGCCAAACCCCACAGTTCATCCGTGTGCCCCTAAAAATAAAGACTCCCATGAAACGAACTCCACAACTACTGCAGGTAAAAGCACATGTGTGATAACCACTGGCAATGCTTTTGTGTGATTAAAGGGGTCATTTAAGGCCATTTTTGTACAAGTTAATATGAATGTTTAGGGTCTAAATGAAAACTTTGTAATATACTTTTATTAAAAATTCTCATTAGTATTGTAAGAAAACACTAATTTTACCTGGTCAAAAACAGCTCTGTTTTCAGCACGCCGTTTCAGTGCATGTGCCTTTAAATGATAATGAGCTTCGCTGACTCCGCCCCTCTGTTCTGCGGGTGTTTCGACACAACGCACGTGGAGTGTTTCCTTGACAACAGTTGAGGGTATATTTTGGAGAGAGAATGGCAGCGGGAGTCTCTGAGGACACATCTGTGCAACCGTATCAGTTTAAACCGGAGTCAGACCCGGAACAAGATGACGGCCAGAAGAAGTTCGACAAGGCTCGAACAGGACGTTTCTGAATGGTTGGTTAACGTAATGCCACTTTGATCTATCTTTGTATGCACTCTTGGCAGGGTAGAGTAGTGAGATACGAACGCTGTGTGTTTACTAATGTATACGTTAGTTCATTGACACATTGATGTTACAGCTAATGGTCATGAAAAACTTTTTTTCGCGATTTGCAAAGATTAATATAAAGGTTAATAAAACGTTACACTCACTTCTTCTGGAGGTGCAGAGGGAACATAAATAT